TTTCCCCTTAGAAAGTATAATTATAGATAAACACACCCTTAGAAGCAAACAAACAAAATGGATCCCGTTGAGTACAACGGATGTGAGGGGTGCTAATACCTTCCCCTCATATAACCGACTTCCTTACCCTTTCTCTTGGTCGTAAGACCATCTTATCCATCCTCTTGTGGCTTTCTCGATATTTCCCCTTCCTTCAGGATAAATAAAGTTCAGTGGTGGCTCTGTGTTTTTTTGCTGGTAGCTTCACCCGTATGATGGTTTCTTCACACTACCGGAATTTTCACTTCTTGTCAAACCACCTTCTCTTACAGCTTCTTCAAATGGACGCTCATTCCCACCATCTCGGTAAAATCACTGGGTGCACTTGCTACCATTCTTTCATAATAGAATGCATTCAAAGTCTTCAGAAAAATCTTCGTCATTTTTTTTCTTCCATTGGAGGAATCACCTGGGCGGATACTTCACGCCATCTATGTGCATATTCTTTAAATGACTCCTTGTCCTTTTGGACCATGGCCTTGAGTTGATCACGGTCATGTGCCATATCCACATTGTATTTGTAATGTCTAATAAACGCTTCACCCAAGTCATTGAAAGAGTAAATGTTGGCACTATCCAGACTCATGTACCATTTCAACACTGCACTAGTCAAACTGTCTTGAAAGAAATGAATCAACGGGCATTGATCATCGGTATGAGTAGACATTCTTCTCACATACATCAATAAGTGAGCACGAGGGAAAGTGTTGCCCTTGTACTTCTCGAATTCCAGTACGCTGAACTTTGCAAGTATTTCACATTTGGGACCAAACACAAATCATTCACATTCTTCCCAAACAGTTCCTTCCCTCTGAGGGCCTTCAACTCTTTCTACATCTTATCAAACTTGTCCTGAAAATTGTCCATTCGATCATAGAACCAAAGCTTTCACTTTGTGGAGGAATGGGCCGATACACTTCATCATTCACAAATGGTACATCATTCACCGAGGGAGGTGCAACATAGTGAATCTCATTTTTAGCAGCAAGGGTAATATGCACCACATGAGGTGCAATAGCAGCAGCAGCCTGAGCAAATGGAGCAACTTGAGTATCATGATTAAAACTTTCCGGCATAAAGTTCTCTGGAATTCCCAAGGGATAACCTTGAGGAAAATGATTCTGAACAACAACACCTGGAGTAGCAGAAACGGGAACAATCAAAGCATTTGTAGTAACTATTGTTTGTTGAGGCTGAGCAAGTGGTGGCTGATTCTGAGCAGCCACTAACGATTCCATCAGAGAAGTGAGATGGGCCATACCGACCTTCAGAGCAGAAACTTCTTCTTGCAGCTCGCAATTCTCTTGTTCTAGATTATCCATCTTCCTTTTGAAATCAGCTCGAGTGTTGTACCGGTGAGACAACTTGCTGAATGAAATGGAGAAACATAGTAAGACACCTGAGTATGAATAGAAATGCAAAAAATATGTGCAATATGATTCATGATGTGTAACGCACATGATTTATTTTATTATTAATATTTCAAGGAACTCAAAGATGTATAGACAATTTGCAAATATTAAAGTACTAACACATTTGAAATACTGAAAATCTCATTATAATAACTTCAAAATGGATTACAACTTTTTAGTACAAGTTTCAATAATCCCAAGTACAAGATAAGATAAAATCTAAGATCCTAAAAAAGCAAAGTTGATGAAGATCACTCCACACATTGACGCTTCCCTGTGAGTCTTGCAATCCGATCCTTCAACTGCTTGGTCTCTTCTGCATACCTATCAGCGACCTTGTTCCAATCACCAGAGTCTGGAAGTGAGCAACTAAGGTCTGAATGAGTCATAGAGGAAAATAAATCCTCTTGCCTCTCCATTGTCTCTACAGCACGACTCTCAAGAATCTCGATCAAATCGTCTTTCTCCTTTAGTTCTGCTCGGTAAGACACCTCTAGAGTCTGGCACTTATTCTTCAGAGCTTCCTTTTCCTGTTGCATCCTGACTAAGGCAAACTGAAGCTCTATCACATCATCCAATTGGGGAGGAGTGGTCTTCACAAACATATCAGGCGTCGGTACTTCACGAGAATATGTCATCTTCAATTGGATGGCTCTTGATTGTACACACTAAAGATAAGGCTCCAAAGAAACAGCCCCTCTAGGTCCGTACTTTTCTTGTGAATATGACACCAAGCCTTTGCAATATTCTCTTTAGCTTCCTTATGAACTTCTCCCTCTTTCAGGAAGAAACCACTCATATGAATACTATTTGGCTTATCCCTCATCGGATGTCCAAGCTATCGTCGTGCAAGAACAGGGTTGTAGTTAATTCCTCCCTTTGTACAAAGAAGATGTACATTTGGGAAACTACAACAACTATTGACAATCTCCATATCATAATATTCCTGATAATACCAAACAATATCTGAATGAGTGAGGGCCATAACCTTTGGAGCCCAACGAGGTTCCTTCCTGGCATCCCAGAAAGCATTAGACTTAGGCAAATGATCATCCCTCCATGGTAAGAATCTCGAAAATTAATAGAATAATAAGCATCGCCCAATAATGTAGGGCCTGGGTTCCCAATCATAAAGATTTCGATGGCATTGATATCCACAAATTTTTCGACATTGGGAAACAAGAACAATCCATAAGCAAGTAGAGCAAAGATGGCTTCTAAAGAAACCATACTCTTCATCCTAGCAAAGTAGCGAGCTTCCTCCAACAAGAAATGAGCGAGTAATCCTCTAATCCCTCCTTTGGTAGTCATGTGGGCTTCAACCTCAGCCTTCCCCAAATGGATCAAAGCAGCAATTTCATGGGATTTTGGCTCCCCCTCCAAACCGGTAAAAGGAACACGGTCGGTAATAGGTAAAACCAACAGATAGGAATACTCCTCCAACATAGGCATCAACTGATAATCAGGGAAGGTAAAGCATTGATACATCAGATCATAGAACTGGACCAAAATCGAGAGAAGACCCTTCTTCATCCTAAGCCTCATTAGAGAAATGATGGACCCATACTTTCTCTGAAAATCTGCAGAACTCTCGATCTTGGGAATCAGACTCATATATCTTGGGATCTTTGAAACTGTACTTCTTAGTCTTTCTTTTTCCAGAATCCATAGTAAAAAAGTATCTGAGATATTTACAAACAGTCAACTTTTAAGTCCCTAGAAACAAAATGTTTTAAAAGATGCTCATGGGTGCATGAATGCATGATGCAACAATCACACACAAGATTACAAACATAGGGTTCATAGGTTCAACTTCACTAGCATGAGGTCGAAGGTATTACCCACAAGGTATGATCTAAAAGTTTATCATCTGCCAAACAATGTTCTAAGAGGTTCCCATAGTCTACATCCTTCCTTCGGATATTACCAACATCCCGATTGACTCGGTAATTAGCAATATTCTTAGGAAAAACTCGTCCGAGCATAGTATCGCGTGACAACCATTTCATGATTACTCCATCATAGCTTCTGCACTACACCTAAAAGGACAAGATGGATTAAAGGTTCTATGATCCTCAGTTTCAGCAGGCTCCCAGATCGAAAGCAGCACGTCTTTCCGATTACTCAGTAAACGACAATATAGTCAAAGGGGCCTCCACTGAGTGGGGGATCTCATGTCTCCTTTTTTGAGATTACTCCCTCAAAATTAACATGACTATATCATTTGTCTTATCTTAAGTTTGCCCAAGTTCGTGTATAGGACTTATGAGAAATCACCAAGCACACTGAAAACTAGGAAAGTCCATACAAACATATATACAACACATGATATACAACAGATAATAGCACATATACAAATAAACAAAGATAGGCTCAACCCAACTCAGGGATGAATAAGCAATAGGTCGATTTGTCCCTAGTGAAGTCACCATTTTTTCTGTAGTGGTAGAAATGTTGAGACTAAGCTATTGGATTGACTTGACTCACATAGATCAAAATAAAAGTCGCCACTGCACTTTATTGTTTCCAAAGGAATGGGAAAAGAGTGAATAACCCAAAAAAGGGGGGAGAGAATCTAAGTTCTGGGGTTGGTTATGTAAAGGGAAGGTATTAGCACCCTAAACATATACGGTACTCCGCAAGAACCTCTTTGTAAATATGTGTATTTTGGCTATAAGTGTTGTATAAAAATAAATGGTAGAGATGGAAAAAGAAATACTTTTTACAATTTTTGCACCCGCCGCGGTTGCGAACCTTTAGTGCCTACGTACCACCTTCCTTGCAATAGAGGATCAGGGTACTCGTAGTTCACCTTTAAAAATTTTAAAACACAAGTGTGTTGGTTAATTTTAAGAGACAAGACATCGTCGTCTTATCCGAATGGAAGAACATACTTACTACCCACGATTGTGAGAAAAGAGAATTTGCGTCATCTCAAAGTGGAGGATATAGCTTAGATTTTAAAATCAACAAAGCCTCACTCAACACCCAAATGGAAAATATCTCACTTCACTACATATCATTGAAGTATAGTAGCTCGCATCACTACAAGGATTGACAAGAGTCTAACCTTTTGAGAAAATTTTAAGGTAAAAAGCCAAAGTGGTAAAGATAGTTTGAATGAGATTGATTGACTTTTAGTCTTCTCACAAAAATGTCAAAGTATTGTTAAATTGATTGAAGTTTGATTAAGAAAAATATTTTTGAAAATGTATGGACCTAAGTCCAAATTTATTATGAAAGCAGTTCAAGTTTATAAACAAAGAAGATTTTGAAAAGAGATGAGAAGGTTTTGAAAATTAAAGAGAGTATCATATGTACAAGAGGGTAAAAGATAAGGTAAAAGGAATATGACTGGATAAGAAACCAGTACTTGACATAATGAAGTCAATACAGTGTTCCCATCCCTTTGGGTTTAAAACCACAGACAAATAAAGAAGCTAAGAGTATATCAAACCTCAGGTGAAAATAAATCACAAGCTGGCGGTATCAAAGAAACCCAAATGTAAGATAATACTCCAAGCATCAGATAAATCACGTGAAAATAAATCACGGACGAAGAAAGTATGGATCATGAGAGGAATCAGATAAAGCGCAAGGGTAATGGATAAAGCTCACGGTATCGGATAAGAATCCCTACATCACATGAAAAATACAGACAAATCCAGCAGCATGAGGAAACTTATTTAAAGCTTACGTGTAAATTACCGAACATTGCTCTTAGTTAAGTATTTCCTAGAATAGATTCATGTAGGAATCAACTCCAAATGATCGGGAAAAAATTATATGCGTCCATACGATTTTCAAAAGTTAACTTGAATTAAAATTCAAAATCGCAACGCAACGGAAAGATGATTTACATAACCTAAATTTATTTACAAATGAATTGAATAAAATACAAAATCAAAAGTATTATGTACAATTATATATTTCATTACTAAATATTAAATCAAAATAGTAAAATAAAATACAATAAAAGGGAATGAAGAAAAAAATATAGATGCGCTATGCGAGAATGAATGTTTGAAATAATTCTAAGAAACATTCACAATAACAAACTCGTTAGTAGCATGAGGGGGATGAAAATGAAATAAAAAGAAATGGTAACAAATAGAACATGTGTTAGTAATTACAAGGTATAAAATCTAAATGAACTTGTATCATGCACATGAACAAATTAAAAAATTTCAATTAAGAATCAAAAACTCATGTTATTATTCAATGTAAATTCAAAATAGTAATTAGAATCAAAAACTAATTAAAACCCAAAAAAAAAACAATATTATAATTATAAATTAATTTATGTTACTAAAATAAATAACAAATACAAAAATATGCTGCAAATAATAAAATAAGAATGGAAGAGTAACTCACAAAGAAAAGGGGAAGAATGGTGGAAGATGAAGGGCTCGCGGAAAGGAGGATGGTTGGTGGAGCCGGAAGGGAGACAGAGGCAGAGGGAGTCCGACTGGGATGTCTAGTTAGGCTTGCGGAATAGAGGGAGTAGTCGGAATTGAGATGGGTATACCTGCGGTAGTGATGATGGTGTAGTAGGTGGAATGGGATTGGGTGTTTTTGTGTCTTAACATTAGTGAGGGAGTTGTGGGTGTATGCTCAGATTGTTGTGGATTGGGTGTTGTTGAATGGAATGAGATTGTCAAGAAATTTTTTTGTGTTGAATAGAGGGTGGGTTGAAGGAAATGTGAAGGGAAGAAGAAGATGAGTTTGTTCCTGTTATTGCTTTAAATTGTTTTTGTGATGCTTCAATTTTGTTCGCTCTTTTTCCTTTCTCCGTATCGGTCCTGCACAATCTCTAACAACTAATCAAAATAAAGCTTAGTTTAACAAAAAGAAATTAATGACCAAAAAAACCCTCTAAAAATAAAAATGACGTCAAAATCTGAAAGAGAAAAAATTAATGCAATTTAAGATGATTTTTTGATTTTTTTAAATAAAAAATAGGGATTCAAAATGACTAAAAACAATAAAAAAATGGACAAAAATTTATCCGAAAAAATAAAATGAACACATTAAAATAAACTATTTGTCTTAAAGATTAATGAAAAAATATTAAAATGATCAAAATCAAAATAAAATGAGAATAAAAATATCAGGTTGAACAAACGTTTACGGTTAAAAACGAGACTTCAAACTGTACCGAAAAAATGAAGCGAGCATACCGTCATGATTTACGCGAAACCCAGATTCGTAAAATGATCAGTAAAAGGTGAAAACTTGAAATATTTTACTCGCTAATTTTCTGTACAATGTCGTATTGCTTTTAACAATATGTCTGTAAAATCGAAATATTAATATTATCGACATATAAACAACTTGGAGTGATGGAAGAATCGAGTAAAGAGATAAAAATGCATGAAGTGAAATATCAGATATTTTTCAACTACAAAATGATGCAAACTTCGATTTAAAATGATTTTTGGTCAACTTAAATATGACTAATGATGCAAAATGTGATGAATGAAAATATTTTATTAATGATTGTGACCAAATAACAAAATATGATATGAAAGTGCGACTAAAAAAATTATGAACGAAATTTAGGGTCCAACCGCTGAAATCATTTTGAGAAACCTTTTGAAGCAAAGTTATTCCTCACATCATTAGCTCTTAACTTGTAAAGAGAAGTTTGAGATAACGTCAAGGAGATTCATATGCTCAATGAATCGCTCAAAAATATTGAACAATAAGGATGTTATGATCATTTAAACTCAAACTGGAAAACATTGAATTTTGGTCTAACAACTCCAAATCAACTCGCGAACTTGATCTTTTTCACAGCCTAAGATACTATTAATCATATATGAACTTGAGATGTCGAAGAAGGCATGGAAATAAACACATGAACCTATCTCGAAGAATCTTGAGAATTAAGCAACCAGAGTCGTCTTAACTATGCTGAATGAAACTTGAAGATAACGCGACCTAAGATTATAGATCACCGCTTTGAGCCATAGGCTTTTGGGAACTATTATTTGCTTGAACAAACCATAACCCTCACCGGAGAGTCATAAACTGAACTTCTTGGTCGCAAACCCTATCTTTCAAGACACAAAACAAACAAAACATATGGTGGAATTTTGGTTAGAAGTCAATAAAATATAACATACATACATACGAGGCACATGATTCAAAGTGCTTGGTGATCTCTCAGGAGAAAAGCTAAAGATAAGGAGAAGAACCAAACCCTAGTGTGATCTTGTTATGATTGAGTTGATATGATATGATAGAGGAATCTTAGGGGCAAAAATTGGGGTACGACATCTTATTTCAGGAATTATTCTAGAACCTGTTTTTTGTTGGTCGGTGAGATAGTTACCCTGTCTTGTTTCAGGAATTAATGTCTAACCTGGTCTTGTAGATAGTTTCCCCGACTTGTTTCGAGAATTAATCTACAAATTGTTGTTCACAAATAGTTTCTGTCTTGTTTAAGGAATTCATCTACAAACTGTTGTTCACATATAGTTTCCCTGTCTTGTTTCAGGAATTAATTTTTGGCTAGTCATCCAGATAGTTGCCTTGTCTTGTTTCAGGAATTAATCCAGAGCTTGCTTGAAAATTGATGATATTGGTCTGTTGATTGATCTTTCTTGAAAAGGTAAAGAGTTAGTTGTATGCAATGTCATGATGTATGAAATGCATTGTGTAATGATGTTCTTAAAATAAATGAGATTGTGCTATATGCATTTTGTATGCATATGATATGATGTATGAATGTGAAATGTTATTGAAGTGTATTTTTAAACCCGTGTAGTATCTTGTCTGAGAAAATAAGTCCATGACCATTGTTGGGGATAAAGAGTATGTGTATCTTCAATCTTGTCTAGAATACTTCTGTTGGGGATTCCTGTTTACTTGTTTGAGGAAATTCCATAGGGAATGTATTGATTTCTGTTTGGGAAGTAGAGTTTAATAACCTTGGTCGTCTGTTGCTCTATTGGGGAGTTTAATTCTTATATATCCTGACTGGGGATAAAAGAGATGGATAACCTTCTGACTCGTCTGGGGAAGATAATTCTTATATACCTTGATTATGGATAAAAGAGATGGATAACCTTCCGACATGTCTGGGGAGGATAAAGTTGACTGATATTTGGCCTGGTTCCAAATTTTACAACAATTTTCCGGGGATAGTGGCAACTTCACTGGGGAGAGGAGTTTTATCAGTGATTCATAGTACTCTGAGGAATAGGCTCGAGTTGGGGAAATTGTTGTTTGTTGGGGAACTAAACCCTATTGCGGAAATAAACCTTGTTGGGGAAATAAACCTTGTTGTCGGAGTGGTACTGGTGAGGAAACCAAACTCTCTTGGGGAAATTGAAATTTGCTAGAGAGAAGAGCTCTGTTGGTTTTATAGTTTTGGAATTCAGCTAGGGAAGAGAATTTCCATGAAGTGAATTGATTGGAACTCCGTAGGGAAATTGCATGGAATGTATATTTTGTGGGGATGAATCTGTGAAGATTATTCTGTGGGGATAATCTCATAGAAGTAGCTCTGTGGGGTTTTATGGATAGCTTGAGTGTCATCCCAGTTCCTAGAATTTTGAGTAAATGCTTATTCTTGTTCTTATGCGTATATTTGTTAACAGTTAATCATATCCATATGCATATGTTCATTAAATTTAGTCATTGGATGTTTTTGCAAACAAAACTGAAAAAACCAAGAATTTTAACTTTAAGATGTATTTGTATTGATAATTTGCCTATAAACAGGCGATTTTGTACAAAGAGACAGAAATCCTAGTAAGAGGAAGTCGTCGTGAAATGAAAATAGTACAAAGTGAAAACAAAATGTATAGCCATGTGGAAGTGATCTCGTTGGGTTCCAAACTCTGTTATTGTCCCTATGTCTTCGAACATCTCGTCCCATGCCATCGGAAGAATTTGATTGAACCATTTGAACTTTCGACTTTGGTGATAAAGCTTGCATGTAAGTGATCCAATGGGACATAGTTATACGCTTTTAAATTCCTAATTTTTTTCTGGACCGCCCTTTCAGGTTTTCAGTCCACCAGGATACCCTTTTTTGCCCAAGCCGCCTTTTCAGGTTTTTGACTTTCCAGGTGTACAATCTTTTCCATTTATCCCTAATTTTTTCCCGAACCCTTTTGGTTCGTCGGGATGCCCTTATTTTTGCCTAGGTATGTCAACCTAGTGGGTCATTCTTATGTGTAGTGTTTTTTGACTGTGTCTGTGTTCACAGGGTGTGGGAAATCTTTGTTGTCCATAGTGGTTAGCATCATAACACCGCCCGAGAATACTTTCTTCATAAAAAATGGCCCTTCGTAGGTGGGAGTCCATTTTCCCCTGGGATTGCCTTGTGGTAGAATAATGTGATTTATTACCAAGTCATCGTCCTAGTATACTCGATGCTTGATCTTCTTGTTGAATGCATTGATCATACGTTTTGGATACATCTGACCATGACAGAAAGCCACAAGCCTTTTCTCGTCAATCAGATTCAACATATCCAACCTATTCTGAATCCACTCATCTTCGTCTAAGTCTGCTTCTTTTATAATCCTTAGAGAAAGTATTTGGGCTTCGACAGGCAAGACAGCTTCCATACTGTAGACTAGAGAGAATGGGGTTGCCCCAATTGATGTTCGCGCCGAAGTAAGATAGCCATGAAGAGCAAATGGTAACATCTCATGCCAGTCTTTGTAGGTCATCACCATCTTTTTCACAATCTTTATATTTTTGTTGGCAGCTTCCACTACGCCATTCATCTTAGGTCTGCATGGAGAAGAGTTGTGATGCTTGATCTTGAATTGCATGCAGAGTTCAGTAATCATGGCTTTGTTAAGGTTGTTACCATTGTCAGTGATGTTCCTCCCAGGGATGCCATACCGACATATGAGGTTATGCTTGATGAATCAGGCCACGATGTTCTTGGTAACTGAGGAAAATGAAGCTTTTTTAACCCACTTGGTAAAGTAGTCAATGGAGACAAGAATGAAACGATTTCCATTAGAGGTAGTAGGCTTGATCTCTCCAATCATATCAATGCCCCACATTGCAAATGGCCAAGGAGCAGTCATGACATTCAAAGGAATTGGAGGCACATGGACTTTATCGACATAAATTTGGCACTTATAGTAAGTCCTCGAGTGGTGGTGACAATCGGTTTCCATAGTAGACCAATAGTAACCAGCTCTCATAATCTTCTTGGTCATAGTATGTCCACTTGAGTGAGTACCAAATATGCCTTCGTGCATGTCCTCCATAATTTTCTCTTCTTCCTTATTTTCCACACAACAAAGCAGGTTTGAATCATGATTGCGCCTGTACAAAATCCCATTACAAAGGAAGAACTTAAGTGAGAACCTCCGAATGAATTTCTTGTCATTGATTGACGCCCCCTTTAAGATACTCTTGAGCTTTGGGATATCTTTTCACTTCATAAAACCAAGGCTTCTTCTCTACACCATCAGTGTCAATCTCATAGCAGTGCGCCAGTTCATCAAATCTTTCGACAGTAATTCAGGAAGCTTCGTTGTCCCACTTGACCTTTAACATGGATGACATGGTATCTAAGGCATCCGCCAACTTATTTTTCTTCTCTCGGAATATGTTCAAAGGTAATTTCTTCAAAGCACGGGATCAAGGTTAGCACAAGTTCTTTGTAAGGGATAAGATTTGGATGTTTTGTATCCCACTCTCTTTTAACTTGAATGATTACTAAAGCTAAGTCTCCATATACACTTAAGAATTTGATTCTTAGGTCAATAGCAGCTTTAAGACCCAAGATGCAAGCCTCGTACTCAACCATGTTGTTGGTACAATCAAAGCAAAGTCTGGCAGTGAAAGGCGTATGGCAACCTTCGGGGGAAATGATCACAACACCAACTCCGTTACCCAGTGCATTGGGAGCTCCATCAAAAACCCTAGTACATCGGGATCCTTGCTCAGGTCCTTCATACAGTCTAGGCTTTTCACAATCTGTAATCAGCATGATATTCTCATCCGGGAATTCAAAGTTCAAAGATTGGTAGTCATCTACAGCTTGATGCGCCAAATGATCTGCCAACACACTTCCTTTGATTGCTTTTTGAGTAGTGTACTGGATATAATATTCAGTTAAGATCATTTTCCATCGGGTTATCCTTCCGGAGAGTGCTGGCTTCTTAAAGATGTACTTGATGGGATCTATCTTAGAGATCAATAGAGTAGTATGAGTCAACATATACTATCTTAGTTGGAGAGCAGCCCATGCCAAAGTGCAGCAAGTTTTCTCGAGTAGTGAATATCTTGTTTCACAGTCGGTAAACTTTTTGCTAAGGTAGTATATTGCATGCTCTTTTCGACCAGACTCGTCATGTTACCGCAGCACACACCCCCATTGAGTTCTCTAACACGGTCAGGTACATGATCAGATGTCTTCCTTCAACTGGTGGCATCAGAATTGGAGGTTCTTGAAGGTAATCTTTAATCTTGTCAAAAGATATTTGATAGTCTTCATTCCATTTTACTACTTGACCTTTCTTCAACAGCTTGAAGAGTGGCTCACAAGTAGTAGTCAAGTGAGAGATGAATCGAGCAATGTAGTTTAGACGTCCCAAGAAACCTATAACCTCATTCTCAGTACGGGGAGCTAGAATTTCTTGGATAGCTTTGACTTTAGCAGGATCGACTTCAATACCTTTTCCACTGACGACGAAGCCTATGAGCTTTCCAGACCTTACCGCAAAGATGCACTTGTTGGGATTCAGCCTCAGCTTATATTTCTTCAGCCTTTCAAACGGTGTCTGCAATGAACAAGGTGCTCTTCCTAAATTTGTGATCTCTCTATCATGTCATCCATATAGACTAATATCTCATAATGAATCATGTAATGAAATAAAGCCACCATATCCTATTGATAAGTTGCTCCTGCATTCTTCAGCCTAAAAGGCATGACCTTATAATAGAAGGTACCCCACTGTGTGACAAAAGTAGTTTTCTCCATGTCTTTAGGTGTCATTTTGATTTGGTTATAACCAAAGAAACCATCCATGAAAGAAAATACCTTA